TAACTTCCTGAATGTTTAGGTAGGAAGACCACTAATTCATGGAACCTACAAAATCATGAAGGCAGAATCACTCTAAAGCACAGGTTGCAATCTGCTGGCCTAGAAGACACACACTCTCTTTGAATTATGTTGTCTTTTTTTAATCAACTTGGTTGCCAATATTTTAAAAATATAATTATATATAAGTACCGGAGTTACAGCTTCTTCCAAAAAACATAAAAATATCAAAAGATCTAGAACAGTGGACCCACATTTTGCTGTAGCTAAATCAGCTAAAGGTGAACAGCACCTGGCCAAACAGGAACAAAATTCCTGTGTCTCTAAGAAGAGTAACTGACGAGGAAGTGGCAGCCACAGAGCCTAGCTGGAGCAAGCCCCATCAGCAGCTGCAAGCCCGCCCAAGGCCCACACCGCCCTGACTTCCATTGTTCTGCAGTCTTAGTTGTCCAACTCCTTTATCTGACTCTATGAACTACCAAAATATCTATCCTTCCAAAAGAATCTTAATGAACTGCCTCATCATGCTTATCTTTTGTATACAAATGAAGCATCAAAATCCAATAATAAGAATTTCAGAAAGTGAGAACAGAGGAATTGAAAGGAGAAAAACAGTACCATAAGAAAATTTCCCAGAACTGAAGGATGCATATTTCCAGACTAAGGTATCCACCAAATGCAGCACAAGAAACAGAAAAAGACCTATGCTAATGAATGTTATAACAATAAGGAGGAACTGTTAAAACCTTCCAGGCAGAGAAAAAAGGTCACATACAAATGATAGGGAATCAGAATGTCATCAGACTTCTCAAGAGCAGAACTGGAAGCCAGAAAACAACACAGCAGTACCACCAAAAATCTAAGGAAAATGAATCTAAGTCAAACCTAGAGTTCGAGACCCTACCAAATTATCAATCAAGTATGAAAATAAAGTAAGAGTTTATTCAGACATGCATGGATCTCAAAAATTTACCTACCTTCAACACACCCACTCTTAGGAAACTGAAGCCTTTAACTCCATATTTGTTCATTTGAAAATATAAACATAAAGGATAATTTTCCCAGAAAAATTTATCAAAATTGACCCATGGATTTAAAAAAGCTAAATAGACCAATAATATCAGATCAAATGGCTTTGCAGACAACAGCTCTTCTGACATTTAATAAAGAGATTTTTACAATGTCCAGAAAATCTCACAACTCATTCTAGGAAGTCAGCCTATCTTACAAAAAACAGGATAGCACCATGTGCACACACAAATACAAAACTATAAGCCTATCTCTCTTATGATCACAGATAAACCCTAAAATGAAAAGCAACAAAACACTGAAAAGGACTTACAGAACCAGAAGGTTCTGAACACAAGATTGCATGATTGATTCAGCATTGGAAATCTATCAATACATCACAGTAAGATATTAAAGAAGGGGCCTCATGATCACCTCAATGATGCAGAAAAGGCTTTGATAAAATTAAAACCCCAACTCAAAAAATAAACTTTCTGAGCTAAACAAACAGTAACTACCAGAAAACTACAGCAAACACCATACTCACTGGTAAAACATTAAAAGAACGCTCATTAAACTCATGACAGGATGACAAGACAAAGATGCCTGTCATCACCCCTACTACCCAACATTATATTGGAGGACTTGACAAGGAATGGTTCTAGAACAAGAAGTACAAGAAAAAGAAATGAGACATAAATACTGAAATAGAAGAGACTGCAGATATGACAGTGTGACTAGAAAATCTAAAGCACCAAACTCTTAAAACAAGATTCCAATAAGCCAGTTATACACAATAACCAAAAAAAAAAAAAGTTTTTCTATAGTAGATCAGCAACCAATTTCAGAATATAACAGGATGAAAAACTCTACCACCCACAACAACAACAAATACGAAATATCTAGGAATAAAACTAACAAGAAATGTATGAAAACTATATAAAGAAAATTTTACTAAGGTAAGTTCCATAGAAGACAGAGATCCCTTCTCCTATGGAACTTACCTTAAGTAAAATTTTCCTCGTATCTGCAATCTCTTCTATTCCAATATTTATGTATCCCAACCTCTTAGATCAGTGCCCAGCACAGAGCAGGTACTCAGAAATGTGGTAGATAACTGACGGGCAAAAAAGAGCTTGACAGCAAGACATTCTTGTTGCTGAATGAAAGAACGCATATTGTAAAAGTATCCATCATCCCAAAGTTATATTAATAAACTCAATGCAATCCCAGCAAGAATTTCAGCAGATTCTTTATAGAATGTGATGATTCTGAAGTTTATTTTTTTTTAAATGCAGAGCTCATCGAAATTTCTGAAAAACATGCTATAATATATATATATATATATACACACACCATGGAGCAGTAATTTTTTAAAACTATGAATGAGAATTTAATATGTTCTGAAGTTGGAAAAGATAGAGAATTCAATAAATCATATTAGAACTGTTAGAAGCCCCAAATTCGCACCACACCCAAAATAAAATTCCATATGCAATAAAAGCTAAACATAAAAAAGCACAGAAGCATAAGGTATTAAAAGCACAGAGGAACTCTTGGCATGGAGACACCATTACGAAAAAAATTTATGAAAGCAAATGACAAGAAATCTGAAAAAGAAAATATATATATGTGTAAATATATATAAATGAATCACTCTGCTGTACACTTGAAACTAACACAACTTTGTAAATCAACTACACTTCAATAAAAAAAAGCCGGGTGGGAGCGGTAGTTCCCTGGTGGCCTAGTGGTTAGGATTCCGGGCTTTCACTGGTGTGGCCCTGGGTTCAATCCCTGATCAGTTCAATCCCTAATCGGGGAACTAAGATCCCACGTGCTGAGAGGCAAGGCTGAAAAACAAAAAAAAACACACACACACAAAGAGTTTTTAATATATGTAGCCTACAACACTGTATTTCCACTTCTAGAGTTATCAATCCTCCAGAAATATTTGCTTAAGCACACCAAGATGTGTCTGTAGACGTTTAGTGCAGAATTTTCCACAGCAGTGGAAAAGGACATATAACTGAAATGCCCATCAATACAAAAATGGTTAATCAATAAATGGTGGATCCATGTAACTCTCACCTACTAACACAGGAGAGATCACCAAGACCTACTACTAAGTGAACAAAGCAAACTGGGGCGCACTATGTGATTCCATTCACACCATAAAAAGCCACACAGCTGTAAATGTGCAACTTACATATGCACAGAAAAGGGTGCAAAGGGATTCATAAAGAAAATACTTTATTCTTTAATCACTAATTTGTCAAATGTTTGTTGAACATACACTACATGCCGGGAACTTGGAATACACGGCAGGTAAAACAGGCAGCATTCCTGTCCTCAAGGGGCTTACAGGCTCCTGGGAAAGGGAGATTTTAAAAAAGTAAATAAATAACCAAATAAAATCACAGACTCAGATAAATGCTCTAAAGAAAGAAGGGTGCCACAGAATTTAGGTGAGGGAGGCATTTGAGACAGAAAAAAGAATGCTCAAGGAAGGCCTCCCAAGGAGCCTGAGACCTGGGGGATGAAGAGCCAGAGCGAGGGCAGGGGCAGTCCTCCTAGAGGGAAGCAGGCTGACCCAAGAGCTTGGGGAGGCTGGGGGACCAAGTCACGCAGAACTCACAAATCTTGGTAAGGAGTTTGGCTTTAGTCTAAAAGCAATGGGAAACCAGGTATCTGTGACAAAATGGAAGGAAAAACTCCAAATCATCAAGGACAAAACCTACTTAATCCTCTAAAATAGCCATTCTCAAAAACTTTCTGGACTCAAATTTATTGAAGACACCAAAAAGCTTTTGTTTATGTGAATTACATATTTTCGAAATTAAAAATGAGAAACTCAAAAAGCTATGCAAGCACACATTCCATTGGCCACCTGTACAACGATGCCTTCACGTGTCACGCAGGTTTTGGAAAACTCCACTATGCTCCAGCGAAAGAGCGCAACATGCAAGTGACACTAGTACTATTAACGGAAACACTTCTGACCCAGGAGTTCCCAGACTACACTTTGAAAATGATACAGAACCATGATTTTGAACCCCAGAAAGTAACCAAGTAAGGAAGGTAAACCAAGTCTTTTCAAAATTTAACTAGAAAGCCTCAGAAAAAAAATCACGTGACAGAAAAATGGCATACACCAAATCATACTGCCAGAAGTGACATTTCTTGCATTTAGTCTCTGTGGGTTTTTCCATTGCGCCATATGAGCGCTTCAATACTTAGACCTAAAAACTATTACAATGTACTCGTAAATAAGCATTCCTAAAGAACACGCAGTAGGAGGGTTTGACCTTTCAATAATGAGAACAAACTAAGCCCAAACACTGCTGTTGTTCATACTTTACCCGTTAAGGGTCTCCTTTATCAAAGTTTTCGAACTATCGTAAAAGTCACTTTCAAGTGTTTTTCTCAACGTTAAAAAAAAACCTCAATCAACAAAATGTGATTTCAACCAGAAAGTGATTTGACCTGAAATCTGTTTCGAGTTAGGTCCCCTATCGAACTCATCTACGCTCGGAAAACAAGAGAAACTACCCAGAGGAACTGCATCAGTACCTGACCCTTTTCGGCCCCGTTTCCATCTCTTAAGATGCTGATCACGAAGCCCTAATGGGTCCGTATCAGACCACTAAGGAGTTCATGGAAAATGAGACCAGCCCGGGGAGGTTATTTTTTCAGACTCCTTGCTCTCCGAAACTCCGCACAAACACATCCCCTCACGTAGGTGAGTCTTAGCCGGGTCTAGTGCGGGGCTGCCAACCACCCGGAGCCCGACAGGACAACACCCCCTGGGCCGCGACCCTCCCCGAAAGGGCCCGGGGGCGGGCGCTGTCACCCCCGCCCCGCGCAGGCCGCCCGCCGCCTCAGGTGAGCCTGAGGCCTCACCGCCGTGAACGCAGGGACACGAGGGCACAAAGACGGCCAGGAGCGGCCCGCTGCCCCCCGCCGCCGCCTCCCTCGCGGGGCCGCTCACTTACCTCCAGCGCCGGTTCCTCCGCCCGCTCCCAGGGCGGCCGCCATAGTGCTCGCTGGGCCCGGCCTTCAGCCTCGCCCCACCAAGCCAGCTGTGGGGGGCCGCCGGGCCAGCCGGGGCCTGGAGACGCACGGCGGGGGACGAGACACGGGGGGCGGCGGGCCGGGCCTGGGGGCAGATGGCTGCGCGGCCGGCGGGTTGCTGGTCCTCCGGCCTCCTTCTCCTCAGGAAGAAAACAACAAACTATCGCAACATGGCGGCCGGCTCGGCCCGCCGCCGCGGTGCACGCCGGGATGATGGCGGCCGGGAGGCGCCGGCGCGGGCCCTCCCCTCCTGGCCGCGGCGGCTCCGAGCCACCCTCCGGGGGACGCAGGCCGAGCGCGGAAGTCAAACACGCGAGCGACCGCCTTCCTCGGCTCCGGATAGCCTACTGTTTAACGCGGGGGCGGTTACCGGCTGTAGTTCGGCCCCGGTCTCTGTCGCAAGGCGCTTTGCAGCAGTTGGCGCCGAGCTTTACGGCCGGCGGAAGTCTCGTTGGAAGTGGGAGGGCGCGGACTAGCGCTCCGCAATGGGACCTGAGCCTGGTGTCTGTGTTGAGACTGTGCGGCGCGGGGTGGGGGCGGAGTAACCGAGCGGTGGACCGACGCGGGGAGCGAGCGCGCCTGGGGCGGGCCGGGAGGTACCGGGCATGCGCACTGCGGACTGCGGGCAGAGGCGGGTGTGCTGAGCCGGTACGGCCGTGAGACAGACGGCGCGGAACGAGTGCGCGGGAATTTGCGTTTGAGCAGCGACAAAGGTGGAGAGCAAGATGCTAATGAGTGACAGAAAGGGGACCAGTGATGCGGAGAAGAGTGAGGGCTACTCAGGATAAGGCGTCCGAAGACGACTTATGACTTGTTCGCCTTTGGCGGGGAGGGGGGTTGAATGTAATTAGGCCTTTACGTACCCACAAGCTACAGACGTTGGTTCCAAAACAACGAGTTGTGGGGATTATGGGGAGAGAAAAGGGTCGTTTTAGGTAGAAAGAGAAGGCTGAGCAAAGGCGCAGAGGTGTCCAATGACTTCATATGATTCCAGATCTGCAAGCAGTACACGTGGGCGCTGGCGTATTAGTACAAAAGAATAATTTCTGGTGGAAGAGCCTAGAAAACTCCACCTAAACTGATGATAGTAAACATTTTCAGTAATGGGATAAATCAAAATTGTGTGCCACCTGAAAAGATGCAATAGGAAGAAACAGCATCACTTATGTGCTAATCCTGTCACAGATACCTAACTGAACCTAATCCTGAAGAAGTAAGGACAAAAAAAGTGAGGGACATACTACAAAACAATTGTCCTTTAGTCTTCAAAAGTGTTAAAGTTATGAAAGTCAAGGAAAGACTGAGGAACTGTTTCAGACTGAAGGAAAAAAAAGACATGACAGCTGAATGCAATGCATGATTCTGAACTGGATCATTTCACTAATGAATATTATTGGAACAAGTTGCAAAAATTGATGAAGTCTGAAGATAAGATGGGAGTTATATAGCAAAATTAACTTCCTTATTTTGATGATTGTAGGTGATATACAGGAAGAAAGTCTTTGTAGAAAATACTAAGTGTTACGGAATCCAAGTTCATACTGCTCACTGCAGGACAGACCAATAAATGGAGAGATGAGGTGTTGAGACAAGGAATAGCGAATTTATTCAGAAAGCCAGCTGACCAAGAAGATGATGGACTAGTGTCCCAAAGAGCCATCTTACCTGAGTTAGAATTCAGGCTTCTTTTATATTAAAGGGGTGGGGTGTGGTTGATTACTGCAACCTTCTTGGGCCAGAATCCTTTTTTCTTGCAGCTGTCCACGGAGGTCTGGTTACAATGTCCTTATAAACGTCCAACAAGACAAATGTTATTCTCTCTTCTGCAACTTTTTATCTCTTTTTCATTCTACATGGATGGAAAAGTGTTATACCTTTAAAGGTCAGAGCCCTGAGAATGGGCTACCCTATATAGTTCAGGCTATAGGCAACATTCTTAAAGTGTAGCAAAAGCAGTAGAATACAAAGGTTAAAGTAAAAGAAACAGATCCAATATGGAGTCATATTTGTTCTTCCCTCTTACAAAGGTACTTGGGGGTGCTGGGGCTTCAAGTCAGGAACTTATTCTCAAATGGATCGCAATAAAAGGGTTTTTACTCTATATTAAATTTTTCTATAAAATTAAATATTGTTTTCTACTGCGTCACAACAAAAAAGAACCAAAGAGAACATTGTTTAAAAATACCACTGTTTAATTGTGGTGATAGCATCACTGGTATATACCCATATCCAAACACATCAAATTGTGTACATTGAATATGTGCAGTTTTTTGTACATCAATTATGCCTCAATAAAACTTAAAAAATTCATTGTTGAGGTAAAATGCAAAAGAAAAGTTAAACAGATAAGAGATAGTTGAGAGAATTTTAGAATTACGGGCAGGTAGGAAAAGATTTCCCAGAATATGCCACAAAAGTGGGGGAGCAGAGGGACAATATGACCGAGAGGTTTCAAAACTGGGAGGCTGGAATGGGAATGTCAAATTGGAGTTCCAAAAAGTAGAGAAAAAAGAGGATGGAAAAGAGGCAATGTTTGAAAAGATGATTCCTGAGAACTTTTAAGAACTGGTGAAAGATATAAACCCACAAATACAGGAGGCATAACAAATATCAAGCAAGAAAAATAAGTTCACACCTATACATATGTGGTGAAACTGAACCGCATCCACAAAGGAGATCTTAAAACAACCATAAAGAAACTGCTGCCTCTCATCATGATGAAGATGCTGGGACAGACTGCCCTTATATCATAACTTGAAAAGTAGACAAATTTGAGAAAACAAAACTGCTTTCCAACGTTGGGCCACAGGCAGTACAGGCCTGTGGTCACTGAGAGAAAGGAAACCAATGAAGCGGGTCTCAACGATCATCCAGCTTTCTACCTGGAAACACTTTCTGGACCATGAGGCAGGAGGGGAAACACACGTGAAACGCAGTTGTCTTAAAGACTTCAGGAGACAGACCAGAATTTAGAGGGCCTAACATGGGGCATTGTGGGGAAGTGGTAGTGGAAATGATGGAGCTATGCTGAAGAAGAGCTCCAGAAATCCACACAGGGACACCTTGAATGTGCTGCTGCAGGGCAGAATCCCATGACGATAAACAGAGGACCAGAACAACCAGAAAGCTAAGTGGAACCATTCCCGGAGCTCACACAGAGCCTGGGAGATGTTTGAACTTCAACCACCCAGAGTGAATGATCCTGGCTGACCACCCAGGACATTCAGGAGAGACCCAAGAAGGGCCAATGCATTAGGACTAGGACAAACCAGTGCTAGAATCTCCTAACAAAGCTTTAAAACAACTCTCGAAATAGTTTATGCTAATCAGCAAGTAATTTAATGGCCTACCAGAACAAACTTCATTTTTCTTTAAAGAAAAACAAACCCAGCACTCAATAAAGTAAAATTCACATAGTCTAGCATTTAATAAAAAACAAACAAACAAACAAACAAAAAAACTACTAGTGAAGGGAAGAAGCAGGAATATATGACAAATACCAGAGAAAAATTAATCAATAGAAACAGAGGTGACCGAATTAGCAGGCCAGGGAGTTCTAACAATTACAAATGTGCTCAGGGATTTAAGGGAAAATGGGCCCATAATGAGGAAGGAAATAGAAGATATCAGTGGAGCTTCTAGAGCTGAAAAATGCAATATTTGAAATTAAATATTCAGTGGATAGGAATAAAAGCAGATTAGAAATTTCCAGTTTCATCTGAGAGACATAGAGAGCTGGAAAGAGCGTCACTCCCAAGCTCACAACAAGAAAAAAATGACAACCACCTTCAATTTTCTTGAGCCTTTAATCAGAGAATAAAAAGATTTCAGAGCAACCAACTGGAAATCAAGAGAAAGACAGACATCTGCAAAGAAAAGCAGGACCTGAGCCTTTGCTTACCTGGGGCAGATGAGGCCAGATGCCATAGAAGCTGGAACTAAGATTCAGCTAAAAATGTTCAGTGACATCTAAAGGCCACGTGTGGGCTAGCATGAGAGCATAAAGCCCCTTAGGGCTTCAGAGGCAGCGAGACCTGCACCGTCTTGCAAGCTTCTTCATGAACCCCACCAGGCACTGACTGGGAAGATGGGCAGAGTCCCGAGCACACCCCTCCTCATCTTCCCTCTGAAAGTAAGCTGTAGGGCTTCCCTGGTGGTGCAGTGGTTGAGAGTCCGCCTGCCGATGCAGGGGACACGGGTTCGTGCCCCAGTCCGGGAAGATCCCACATGCCGCGGAGCGGCTGGGCCCGTGAGCCATGGCCACTGAGCCTGCGCGTCCGGAGCCTGCGTGTCCAGAGCCTGTGCTCCGCAACGGGAGAGGCCACAACGGTGAGAGGCCCGCATACTGCAACAATAAAATAAAATAAAATTTAAAAAAATAAAAATAAGCTGTAATCTTCAGAGGGAAAAGCAACAAAAACGGTGGCCTTGGGACAATGGGGAACCCATTTCTACTCTGAGAAGGGGACAGCTCACAGGGGAGCCCGGGCGACAGGTGGAAGCAGGGATACTGGAGTCCACACCCTGAGACCCGGGACAGGACGCTGTGCCGGCCCAAAGAGGCTGACAGAGAACATCGGATTTCCCCTCTCGCACCTCCTGCCACCAGCCCAACAGAAGTCAAATAAAACTAACAGTGGAATACAGTTGGGAGAGCTGCAAAGACTGATTCTCCAGGGAGTACAGTGCAAAGAGAAGACCCCAACCCAGGGGACAAACAGACACATCTCTGCAACCCAGCCCTCATTCCAGCACGAGGCATCACTGGAGGACTTGGGAGCTTTGGGTGCAAAGAAGGTAGCTATGGCTACAACAAATACCTGCTGTATGATCCTTTCGAGGGATACATTACTGTTACTTACAAAGAAAGAAACTTCATAATCATATATCCTATATTTTACTTCTCAGTTATTACTTTCAACCTAGTTAATTTTCTTTTTATGGTGTTTTTTTTCTTCGCCTAT